ATGCCTGCAGACACACACAGCTCTAGTCTCATTTGCGGACTCATGCACACACATGCACACACGCACACACCTGCACATGAATCTGCTCACATCTCCTCATGTAAACACACACGTCCAACACATGCATGCACACCTGCACCAAGAAAGTTTGGGCAAGGAGCTCTCCAGGCTCCTTCTGGTGCTGAGGATGTGATGAGTAGCAAGTGCCTGCTATTCAGGCTCATCTTCCTAACGATCCTGACTTGGGGTGGGTGGGGGTATGAGCAGGTTACTAGCACCCTGCTCTGACCCAGCTGTGAGGATGAGACCATCTGGTAGGCTGACCTCTGCCCTAGTACCTGGCATCCTCAGCTGTTTTGTCCATTTGCTGAGTTCCAACAAAATGACTGCTTATGATAGGGAAGTCCTTTCCAGAGGGATGTGGTACTGAGTTTGAAGGTATAGGGTCAGGGGATCCCAGTGGGCCTTGATGAACCCTCTCTGTGAGGCCTATCCCATCCCAGCTGAGGTCCAAAGGACTGTTCTCTGTAAGTCTGGGCCAGGATGTATCATCTGGCTGTAAGGTGGAAGTCCTTTCTCACAGCAGTGGGCTGAGACCGGAAAGCCCTGGACACCATCTACCCCGTAAAGTGGCCTCCCCTTTCCTTTGCTGCATCTAGGCCAGGTACAGAGTGGCTGCCTCAGTTTCTTCTGACATGGGGATGGGATCTCTCCTCCATCTTCCTAAGGCCCTGCCTGTCCCCCTAACTAAGGGACTCTGCAGGAGTCTAGAGATGCCACCTGTTCCCCAGTCCCCATTCAGCTGGCTTAGACACCTGGTTGCAATGCTGTCTCTTGGTCATTTTGGTATTTTCAAGTGTGGACAGAAATTTTAGTCTTGACATTGCTGGTTTTTACCCTACAATGGTTTCCTTTGCTATCTCAGCCTGCAGTGTGGCTAGGGTAGGGAATACACCAAAAAATGTGTTTTCCTCCAGAAGCCTTTTGTTGTTGTTGTTCTGGCATGCTCTGCCCCCTCAGCAGAACTGGTTCCCACTTGAGACCTTGACAGGGCCCTTGAAAGATGTTAGTGCTCTACTTTGCTTGTTTTGGCGTCTCCCCAGAGTTCTGCGAACCATTTAGTTTGTTTCAGTATCAGTACAGGGCCTGTCACAGTAGGTCCTTAATGTGTGGTTGTTGACTGACTGACTGAATGAATGAATGATTTAAATAAATTAATGAATGAATGAAAAGGCACCTGATAGTCTTGGTACTTGGTCATAGTCAACAGTGGACATTCTGCAGTCTGACATGTTCCTTCTCCAACCATTCATAAGCTGACAGACTGGAGTGGCCAACCCAATTTCATGAACTGAAATGCCAAGAGATAGAAATGGCTGAGTGAAAGTCAATACCAAGTGGTGGAGACTACTGCACATGGGTAAGTGTTCAGAGCCAAACAATATTTAAATGTTGAATTGAACAAACAGAATGGTTTCTGGTATGACATCTCACAATTTGATCTCTCCCACCCTCAGGTTCACACTTAGCAAGTCCAAAGAGGAGTTTGAAAGATTATTTTTTAAATAAGTTTATTGATTTTAGAGAGAGAAAGGAAGAAAGAAACATCGATGTGAAAGAGAAACATTGAAGTGAAAGAGCGACATCAATTGGCTACCTGCCATATGTGTCCCAACTGGGGATTGAACCCACAACCCAGGTATATGCCCTGATCAGGAATCAAACCTCCAAACTTCTGGTGCATGGGATGATGCTCCAACCAACTGAGCCACAATGACCAGGGCAAATTTGACAGATTAAACATTCAATGAGCAAAAGACCTTTTCTAGGGAGCTGTTGATAGAAAGTCTGCCAGTTGCCTCTAAAGCTGTCCACACGTTACTGGGCTGCTAGTAAATGGGCCAGGACCAGCCACTGTCTAGGAGACCAAACTAGAGCCCTGGACACACTCACATCCTAGACATTTTATGATGTTTTCAAGGCAGGGGAAAATGGCTGCAGAGTGAATCAGGGGGCCGTGTGTAGGGTCCTGCATGAATATTAACCAGCCAGGGCATGGCCTCTGCAGGGCTCCAAGAAGTGTTTACCTTAAACAGTTTGCCCAGAGATAAGCTCAGAGATGATCAGCCGAGTGAGTGGGTAAAGGGCTGTAAAGTGAATGTGGTGCCCAACAGGATGCTTTGAAATAGCTTGGGATAAAATTGGTCCAGGAGGACCCCACCTTGAGTGGGGGTGGGAAGGGGGTGAGGCCTGAATAGTTTTAATTTGGTGGAAGCAGATTGGTAATTCCAGAGTCAGGCATTTCTCATTTTCTCATTTACTCTCCCTAACAGCCCTCTGTGAAAAGTGGTTTCAGTCTCATTTTACAAATGGGGAACCTGAGGTTCTGGGAGGTCATCTGACCTCCCTGATGTCACATAGTGGGCACATGATAGAGCCATCATTTGAAGCCAACTCAGTCTGTGAAGCTTGCAGCTGTCAACTTACAGGTGTCTCACACAGAGAGTGTGGATCCCCTTTAGTTGCCATGGAGACTGCATATTTCTCTAATGACACTACTGTAACCTGCAAACATGTCTAGATTCTTCACAGAATCAGTTAGGGCAACAGAAGAATTCCAGTTTTCTAACTGAAAGTCACTTACAGATGTCTGGGATTTCCTTGTAATCTCATAGGGTGCCCAATAACCTTGACTAGCCTTATGCACAAGATTGCCACTGTAGACTCAATCTACCCTTCAAGGGCAAAGTTCTTCCACCAAGATTAAAAACTCATGTGGCAAGTTCTGGCAGTGGCATCCCATAGGTGACAGAGAGAAAGAATGTCCCTGGCATTTGGTCTCTGGCTCTGCACAGGCACCTCTGTTTGCTTGGGAATCAGGCTCTCTGCCACTCCTTAGAGGAAGGACAGATGGGGCAGGCCAGGCAAGCAGGGGCTGAGTCCTTGGCTCCCTTTCACACCTCCCACATTTGGCCTGGGCTGCTCTGAGGGACTCATGTCCCTTGAAGGCCCCTCTGAGTCACTGCCCATTTCATCTGGGGCTGGTCTTTTTAGCACACCATATCCCAAAGGACAGTGGCTCAGGGCTGTGAGCACTGCACTCCTGCCCCTCCTCCTTTTCTCACAGGCCAAGCTGTGTCTTCCCTTTATTTGTGTACATTAAATGTCTGACCTCCCTTACTGCACCCCTCAAAGAAGCTGAGGCTTTGGAGGCTTGTGCTCCTGGAGCATAAAGAGGGACTTGGTTCAGTGGCCAGGCACATAGTTTTTGAATTTTTCCTCCCAGTTGACTTTTGAGTACAAGTGTATAATTTTGTGTGAGATTTTATTCTTTACCTCTTTCGGGGGAGTTGGGGGTAGGGAGCAGGTAAAAAGTAGAGGAAAAGGGTGAGCGACAAGGATCTGGAAGGGCCAGCCCTCTTGCATTGCTGGAAAGTGAGGGGTTCACCTTGCCAAGGGAATTCTAGGTGGGAGTCCTACACAGCACAGGAATGGTCACTGTGGATTTGTCCACTCAGCCCACATAGCTGCCAAGTCTGCAAGGCTATTCAGAAACCCTTCCATTCCTCCCTTCTCTACTTGCCCATTGCCCTGCCTTAGTCCAAGCATATTCTATCTCCTTCTAATAGCTTTCCCAACCAATATTCTCTCCTACTTACAAACATCCCTGGCTCTTCATCATCCTCAGGATAAACTTTAAATATCTGGTAGCATTCTCAGTTCTCTCATGGCCCCAGACTGAATCCTCTGCTTCCCTTTTGTCACTTGATCTTGCTGTCCAGTTGATGGATTTTCCTGAAATACTCTAGTTTTCCTGCCTGACCCTTGCTGCACCTCTACTTCATTACACCCCACCCCACAAACCCCTTCTCCAGCTGAAAGTCTTCCATAACTCAGGTCAAGCACCAGCTCTTCATCTCACTCCCTCTCTCACGCCCAGCCCTCTTACCTCAGTGCTCACTACTTCATGGAGGCCTGATTGCTTCTCAGCCCTCAAAACCGTATTTGTTCATTCCTGAGCCTGAGAATGTCCCACGGTCTGACCATTACCTACCCCTGGAAGGAATGAGTGAGAGATTGAGTGAGCGAGCGAGCTGGTGAATGATGCTTCTGAAAGGAAGTGAAAGGTCTGGCCTATCTATGACAAGTAAGGACTTCTGGCCACCCTGGGACCATGTTCCCAGAGGCCTGTATCAGAGAACCTGTGTCCATCACGCTTGTGCTTGCTGGGCCTGTCAGTCTCAGACATGGCTGTGGGGATGGTGCATAGAGGAGGTTCTCACCTTGCTGGGAGAATCAGATTAGAACGGAGCTTTATTGAGAGATAAGCCTCTTAGACCTGGGCCATCTGTCCCCTTTGAGCTGCAGTTCTGCAGCTCTGCATTCACTGTGGGCATAAACACTCCCCACAGGGTTTGGGCAGGGAGGCAGGAACTTCCCTGAACCAAGCCCTCTATGATCCAGCCCTTTGCTTGTGGGAACTGCATATTCCTCTATGAGCTGGAGCCTCCTGTCAACCCTCTGAAGAGGCCCTGTGCTCTTTATTTTTTATTTTATTTTTTTTAAAGATTTTATTTATTTATCTTTAGAGGGGAAAGGAAGGAGAGAGGGAGAGAACTGGCCTGCAACCCAGGCATGTGCCCTGACTGGGAATCGAACCGTGGTTGCTTGGTTCCCAGGCCCGCGCTCAATCCACTGAGCTACACCAGCCAGGGCTCCCTGTGCTCTTTATTGCCCAGAAAAGGGAAACCCTGGTCAGGAGTGGGATTTGAATGCTGAGGTGTCGAACAAAGACCCTTGCTATTGTCACTATTTCTCATGCTTCCCTCTCACAGTTAGATGTGACTCAATGAAGGGGTGGCCTGCTGGAGAAGCTTGGGGACAGGTTTTCTTTAGCAGGAAGCTGTGGCTCAGGTTCTCTCATGGACTTTCTCAAACAAGGATGTGCCATGCATTTTGGTTACTTATTTACTTAACATTTATTTGTATGTCTTTTCCAGTGAGTCTCATAAGAAAGACAGAAAGGGATTCCCTCAGGAGCCATGGGATATAAATGATTGGAGGCCAGACATATCTAGAACAACTGAGCCTCTGCAGTGCTGGTCAGCTGCTCTGGGTTGCCTCTTATCCTGCACCCCAGCAGGCTCAGAGTCTCTGAATTTATAGCTTCCATGTGCCAGTGGCAGAATCTTGACTACCAGCGCTGGAGGGGCCAGGTGGGGATGGAGGCCAGGAACTGAGCCTTGTTTTGGAAACACCTGTTTACACCTGTGGGAGTGCCCCAGGTACTACCCAAACATTGGACTTGGGCTTCAACTTGCATGGCTTGCAGATTCTCACACGGTGTCCTGGGAAGGAGCAATGAGCAGGCAGAGAGGCAGGCAGAGTCAGTGATGGAGAGAAGGAAAAACACAATTACCATTCATTTCTAGACACAAATATTTAAAAAAAAATCAAAGCACAAATCAGATTCTACCCTCCTTTTTGGAAGATCGAAATGAGACTTTCATGACAATCGTAACCAGTCCAAGCTGTTTGAGGCCCATCTGGGAAAAGTCTGATTTATTAGCAGAAGATGGAGAGAAGGTGGTTTATCTGTTCAGTTGGCTGTGTCAAGAGCAGAGTCCACTGAACCTGAGAGTCTTGGGGGCCTGTTTCCGATGGGCTGGGTAGAAGGGTCTATCCACACGTATTTGCAGACCCTTGGACCCATCTAGCTACCTCTTTCCAGACAGCAAGCGCTCTCAAGCAATGTGTGTGGCAAACTTACATTTGCATGTCTTGACAAACTATTCCCATCTGTGGGAGGAATAATCAACAACAACAAAAATGCATAGACTGAGTTTTTCTTCATAGTTTTGTTTTCAAAGTGGAATAAATTTCTGGAAACAATCTAAATATTCTACAGTTAAAAAGTGGTTAATTAATAAAGGTATTACACAATAATGAAAATATTTAATAGTGATGAAATATTGTATGAACTGTTATAGCATAAAGAAAAATAATTATGATGTAATGTTAATTTTAAAAATTAAAAATGATGTACAATAAACATAAAACCAGGAAAATATTTTGCATGAAAAACAAAGGGAATATGAATGAGAGGGTTAAGTTATGGTAATGAGTTTACTCTTGTTTTCTCCTTCTGTTTCCAGATTATGACTGTATGCAAGGCAGTGTGATAGTTAAGAACATAGACAGATACCACATAATTTCACTCATATGTGGAATCTAATGAACAAACTGACCTTACAAGCAAAATATAGACAGACTCAGAGATAGGGAGCAGGATGACAACTATGGGGAGTGAGGACTTTAGGGGATAGAGGGATTAAACAAAAAGGTTAAAAGGACCATGAACATGGACAGCAGTGTGGTGGTAGCAAGGGGTGAAGGGGGCATAAGGTGGCTAAATGGCAATGAAAAAATGCAATAAAAAGAGAAAATGCTAAAAACAAATAAATAATTTCATGGTAAAAGAGGAAAAAGTAAATTATATGAATGAATTAAAAAATAAAAGAACATACAATCTGGAGCCAGATCATTTGGTAGAGCCAGCTTTAACACTTACTAGCTGTGTAACCTTCAACAAGCTACTTAACCTCTCTATGTTTTGACTTCTCATCTGTAAAAATGGGCATAGTAATAGTATCCAACTCTTAGGATTGTTATGAGAACTAAATGATTTAGCAGATGTAAGTGTTACATAGCAACTGCTATATAACCACTGACCATATAAAAATACATTTCAATATCATAATTCATCCATAGCTCCATAATTAGTTTTTGGTTGCTATAGTTGCTATAGTTTTTCTTCTATGTGTTTTAAAATATATTTTATTGATTATACTATTATAGTTGTTCCATTATTTTCTCCCCTTTATTGTCTTCCACTCTGCACCCCCCTCCCACCATCATTCCCCCTTCCCACGTACATTCCCCTCCACCTTAGTTCATGTCCATGGGTCATACATATAAAAATTTGGCTTCTCCATTTCCTATACTATTCTTAACCTTCCCCTGTCTATTTTGTACCTAACATTTATGCTTCTTATCCCCTGTACCTTTTTCCCCATTCTCCCCTTTGATTCTCCCCATTCTCCCTCCCTACTGATAACTCTCCAAGTGATTTCCATTTCTGTGGTTCTATTCCTGTTTTAGCTGTCTGCTTAGTTTGTTTTTGTTTTTAGGTTCAATTGTTGATAGTTGTAAGTTTGTTGTTATTTTACTGTTCATATTTTTATTATCTTCTTTTTTTTAGATAAGTCCCTTTAACATTTCATTTAATAAGGGCTGGGTGATGATGAACTTTTAACCTGGAAAGCACTTTATCAGCCCTTCCATTCTAAATGATAGCTTTGCTGGATAGAGCAATCTTGGATGTAGGTTCTTGCCTTTCATGACTTTGAATACTTCTTTCCAGCCCCTTCTTGCTTGCAAGGTTTCTTTTGAGAAAGCAGCTGACAGTCTTATGGGAACTCCATTGTAGGTAACTGTCTCCTTTTCCCTTGCTGCTTTTAAGATTTTCTCCTTATCTTTAATCTTGAATAATGCTTCCTTGGGTTCAACTTCTCAGGGACTCTCTGAGCTTCTTGATTTTCCTGGAAATTATTTTCTTTGCCAGATTAGGGAAGTTCTCCTTATTTTTTCAAATAGGTTTTTACTTTTTGCTCCTCCTCTTCTTCTTCTGGTACCCCTATGATTCGAATGTTGAAATGTTTAAAGTTGTCTGCGTGTTCCTAAGCCTTTCCTCATTTTTTAAAACTCTTGTTTCTTCATTCTGTTCTGGTTGAATATTTATTTCTTCCTTGTACTCCAAATTGTTGATTTGAGTCTTGGTTTCCTTCCCTTCACTGTTGGTTCCCTTACATTTCCTTTTATTTCACTTTGCATGGCCTTCACTTTTTCCTCTATTTTGTGACCATACTCAACCATTTCTGTGAGCATCCTGATTACCCGTGTTTTGCACTGTGCATTTTATTGGTTACCTATCTCTTCATTGCTTAGTTGTATTTTTTCTGGAGCTTTGATGTGTTCTTTCATTTGGGCCATATTTTTTTTTGTCTCCACACACCCATTATGTAGTAAGGAAAAGAACCTTAGGTATTCACCAGGTGGGGTAACCCACTTTACTGCATTGTGGTGCTGTATGTGGGGGAGGAGTATGAGAGGGAACAATGCCTCTTGCTCAGCTCTCAGCTGGCTTTCAGTCACTTCCCCACTACCCACAAGCAAATTAGGCCCTTCTGGTTCTGATTCTTAGGTGGGTGGGTTTGTGTATATTCTAGGACTGTGTGGGTCCATCCAACTAACTCTCCTATGAACCTGGGAGTTTCTCCTGCTGCCACAACCCCACAGATTTTTACAGACAGAGGTTTTTGTGGCTTTCTTTTCTAGCACTGGAACCCTGGGTTTTGAGGTCTTTCTTGCTCCCTAACTAGGAGCTCCCTAGCTACTTGCTCCTTTGCTTCCTCCCAGTATTTCTGCACACAAATATGGGACTATCTAGTCCACCAGCCTGCTGCCTTACCCACCCTGGTCCTCCAGCCACCACATTGCTGTGAGTCCTCTCTGCTCCGGCTGCCTTTCTCTGCCCCTCCTACTGGTCTGGATGAATGTTTCTTCTTTAACTCCTTGGTTGCCAGATTTCCATACAGTTCAGTTTTCTGCCAGTTCTGATTATTTTTTGCTTTTAAATTTGCTGTTGTCCTTCTTTTGGTTGTATGAGAAGGCCAAGGGTATCTTCCTACACATCCATCTTGGCCAGCTGGGAAGACACTTTAGATTGAATAGTTGATGGTCAGCATGTGTGTCACAGCTGCTGTTGTGAGCTCAGGGATATCCTCCGGGCAACCTTAGGTTACTTATTCTTTCCGAAGACAGGGTACACTTATGTCAGTGAACTGAGGTACAGAGGCTAAATTGCCAGAGCCTGGCACCCCAGTACCCCTGTTGATTACACATCAATGAGGAAGCCCCAGTGTCGGCCCATGATGATGGCTGCTGCATCTGCCAAACCTGGGCAAGAACATACTGGCTTTGGTTTCTAGTGTGGAAGTTGCTGGTCTCCTGACTGAGCTGTTGTGGCCTGGCTCAGATTTCCTCCCGAGAAACAGCTGGGCATGTTTTGGGTCTTCAGGGCCAGGCTGACTCCTCACCATAACCCAGAGAGGTAGATTCTATTATTATGCCCTTTCCCAGATGGGGAGACTGAGGGTCAGCAGAGCTCGGTGACCAGCATATAGTAGAGCAGATATTCCAACCAAGATGGTGCTTTCTTTCCTGGAAGTCTGTGGTCCCCTGGGGCATGTGCATGTCCCTGAGTTGACAGCACCAGCTGTGACACACACATGCTGGCTATCAATTACTCCTCAATCTAAAGTTTCTTTTCTGAGCATTGTTTTATATGTTAAGTGCTGTGCTAAGTCTATGGGGGCGGCAGGGAGTGGCAGGCATAGGACTCTGGGTCAATTCAATGAAAGCATCTTCAAAGATCAACATGCTGAGTGGTCAGTTGCTGAATTTACATGCTCTCTACTGAGGAGGCAGTTTGTTGTAGTGGAAGGGTGGATACACCTGGCTTCTGGCTCTGCCTCAGTCTTTCTGAGTTTCTGTTTCCCAGTGTGTAAAATGGTGACGATGCTTCCCCAGGGTGGTTCCAAGGATTTAAATGAGGTTGCATCATAAGGACCCAATAAAAATGTTTGGTTTGCTCTTTTTGTTCTAAGTTGTTTGCAAATTTCTACAGTGAAATTTTTAAAATATCTACCCTAAAAGAATTCCAAATCCAACATTACAGCCATGCATCTAGAACAGGGGAGTCAAACTCATTTTCACTGGGGACACACCAGCCTTGCAGTTGCTTTCAAAAGGCCAATGTAATTTTAGGGCTGTATAAATGTAACTGCTCCTTAACTGTTAAAGAGTTAAAATTACATTTGGCCCTTTGAAGGCAACCTTGATGCTGATGTGGCCCCCGGTGAAAATGAGTTTGACATTTCTGATCTAGATGATTCTAAAGCACTCTGCAACTAACTGAACGCCTGCCCTTGTACTTGTATGGTACACAAGGAGTTAATCTGGCTCTTTCCTATGAACTGTGTATGTGCCTGTGCACACAGCCTTAACTTTGATTTTCCTTACTGATTCTGAGCAAATTTATCCTGGGTAGTGGTTGGGGACAGCGGAGAGTTTGAGCATGCCCTGCTGTCCACCTAGGGATGGACTCCTGTCTTCCCTAGATTTTTGTCTTATTTCATGAAAACATTCCTACTCTGTTAGGCTAGGGCCTCTGGCGGGAGCAGAGTTGCAGGAAGCCAGTCAGTGCACACACCCTCCACCTTGGCTGGGTGGGTACCTTACACTCAAGTTCAGAGTGTGAGATCTGGTTATTTTTACCCTGCTCCAGCTACATGTGATCCCTGCTGGTTTGGAAGAAGGGGCTGTCACTTTCTCCAGAGAAGTGGCCCGTGGCTGAGGCATGCAGTCTCCCTCCAGTTTTCTCCTTCACACCCACTCCCCCTCATTACACAGGTTTCTTGGTAGCTGGGAGGGGTGTGGGAGCTCCAGTTCTGGTCAGGGCCATGGCCCCAGAGAAACCAGCAGGGCTGGGGCCTTCTCATATCTTTGAGAGGAAGTCTTAGGCTACAAAGAATGGGGGCAGGAGCCCTGGGTTTATGTTGGGCCTTCAGCTCTGCAGCTTTTCCCTGAGGACTATGCTTATCCCAGGCTTTAGGACCCTTCTATCAAAAGCCAACAAAGGTCCAGCACTCCTACCCTTACACTCTGGGGCAGCTGTTATGTGTTAGTCTACCCCTGGCCTGGAGCACCAGCGCTGAGAGCTGGGTACCCACAACCCTTCCCTGGATCCTGCGTCCCTTACTACCCAGTGACCCCCTGAAGCCTTGTGAGAGAGGGCAGTGCTGCTCTGCCAAACCCCACCCTGGCATGGAGCTCAGCTCTGATGCCTGCCTCTACCTCTGGGACTCTCTGGCCCTGAGAGCCTCATCTCCCCTATGTGCCAGCCACTTCACATGCCTGCTCATAAGACTGGCCCTGCCTTAGTTCATAGCTGCTATGACCACTTCCCTCTGTCTTCCATTCCTCCCTCTTGTCCATCTTAGGCACCTATGCCTGTTCCTTCTTGGCTTGCACCCTAACCCTCCACCCTCTTTGTGCCCGGTCTCCTAATTCCTTCCTGTTCTTTCTTTTGACAGAACATATTCAGTTCAAAACGATTACTTTGTTGATTGGTGGAGATGAGGGTGATCAGTATTCCCACTAGACTAAAAGCTTCATGAGGCTAAATCTTATCTACTTATGGCCACTCCATACTAGCATCTGGTGCCAGAGATGGGCAGGGTTGACCACAGCCTCCTCAGAATCCCTCCTCCCCATGCATAGGTACAGTACTTACCTTTCTGGGTACTCAGAACAGGATTAGAAACTGGGGAGCAGCAGAGCTTGCCTTTCCAGGGCTTGGCAGGACGCCTCTTTCCTGAGGGTGGACACAGAGGGGGCAGAGACCCTTTCTTAGCATGTGTGGGGACACCATGAGGTTGGTCTGTGTAGGAATGACTTGTGTGAGCTTCAGCTCTCAAGACTTCGGGTTCAGAAGTATTTATTCATGAAAACTCAGGATGGACTAGGCTATGGCACGGCCCAGGTAAAGGAAGAACCTTGAGGTGATTTATTTTTCAGAAATACTAAAGTCAATGTGGAGACATATTCTGCCCCCAAAACATGTCTTCCTCGTGTTCTTGTCTGAGAAACAGTTCACTCAAAAGTGTCTCTGCCTTTCGATGCAGTGATTCTCCCCTTGGCAATCTAGCCTTAAAAAAAAATTGTCCTAAATATAGAAAACGTCTTATGTGTACATATGCCTTTGCCACATAGAGCAAAGTTGTAGGTTTTATCTTAGGATATTCACTTGATGGCAAGTTATACCTAAAATGTACTAGTTAAACAGCACTACTTTGGAGAATCTGCCAGAGATACTCCTAAATAGATGGAAACCTTTATCAGGAAAGATATTCATTCATCTTTGTTGAATTGTCAGTAAGGTAACATCGGCAACTTCTAACATGTCTGAAATAGAGGTATAAGATGCATTACTATGGACTGCATTTATGCGGAATTCTGATCACTGTTTTCCATGTTATATATGCAGCAATGTTCTTTGCAGAAACTTTAGAAAACAAATACTTCCTATAATCTTATTGTTCAGAGATAATTGCGATTGACATTTTATAGTAAATGTTTCCAGAATTCTAATCATTAAGTATTTCTGGTCATTATAATAATACAGTGATAAATAAAAAAGATAAAACATAGTACAGAGATTTATCAATTACAAAAATGCTTGCATGCAATACTGAAAAGAAATAAACAGAATGCTGAATGTGGCTATTCTTGTGTCATGAAATGATCGATGTTTTCACCCCTACATATATTTCTTTATCCCCAACTCCAATAAATGTTAAGAATAACCATAACTGCTAAAACAGGAATAAAAGTAGGCAGTTTCCAGAGGGTTGGCAAGAGAAAAAGATCAAAATACTCAGCTATCTGGTCAAAAAAGGCAGGAAAGATAAATATTCATATCCACAGAACAAGGACTATCTCCCCCACTTCTGAGCACACACGAACATTCCCCCACAACATGTACTTTCATCCCTTCTGCCACAGGTGTCCATTGTGTTTGAGTCTGGGAGATGTGCAGGCTCAGATAGTCTACTCATTAATTTATTCATTCACTCGATACAAATTTACTGTGCTCCAAGAATGATACAAGACAGCTAAGTGGCTCTGGAATTTCTAGCTAGGTAGGACTAAGGTGCACAAAGCAATCTAGCTGGGGAGGTTGTGCATTTGAATGATAAGCACACTGCTCTTACTTAGCTTGTACGTGCATTTGGGAGAGTTGGAGCTGTAGATGGAGACTGTGGGGCTGAAAGCCCCCAAGCCATCCTTGCTGCCTCACTGTAGGTGAGGTGTTACGTAGATTCAGGGGGAAGAGCCCATCTTTCAGGCCCAGGACTGCCTGCCAGGGGCTTGCCCTCCATTTCCTGATTCCAACTTTCCCAGACACTGGAAGCCACACTCAGGGCCCAGCACAGCCTGGGGACAGACCTACCTTCTGTGGAGAAGATGGAGAAGCAGAGAAGCAAGATGCAGAGCAGGCTGGAGAGGACTAGAAACCTCATGGTGGGCGGCTGGATCTCACGTCCTGGGGAAGAAGCTGTGCCACAGAAGTCCTCCCTTGAGGACACCCAGACCTTTATGGAGTGGCTGGGAGAAGTGTTTCCAGATGGGCAGGGCAGTAACAACCTTGGAATTCTCGCATAGGGTAGAGTTAGCCCCTCCCAGGAGGAAAAAACCAGCTTTTCGAGAAGTTGAGAGCATTTAGTGAACTGTAAACAGAGCTGTAAAGGCCCCAGCCTCAGGAGCTTCCAGCGCTCACCTCAGTGCTTAGAGCAGGAAACTCTTGCCAGGGAAGAGCCACTTCCCAGGGTTGAACGTTAACTTTTAGTGTCAGTAATAATTCCATCACATAGAGATCTTCCTGTTCATTCCTCAGATGGGGCAGGAGGAAGGCCATAAAACCCTTTACAAAGCCTCTGGGAAGTCTTGAGCAATGAGTGAAATGTAGAGAGCAGAAGGCAGGGAATCAGACAGCCTGGGTTTGCATCTGTGCTCTGCTACAAGCACTGTGAACTTGAACTTGCCATCGAATGTCTGTGAATCTGTTTTCTACCTGTGAACTGGGCACAGTGCTGCCTCTCTCACAAGTTTCCATGAGAAGCCGAGAAGCTATCCGCAACAAGCCAGAAGCTCCTATGGCTGTTAAGGGAGGTGGGGCTGCAGCTGGACCTTGAGGTGTATTTTAAGATGAAATAAAAGGGAATTCAGGTACAGAATCAGCCTGAGCAAAGATATGGAGAGAAAGATCATCCTACAAGAACAAGCATGGGGAAGAGTCTGGCAATGGGTGCAGAAGGCTCAGCTGTCACCTACTCACCAGATGCACACCATGGGCTAGGCTGTGTGCTTAGGCCCCAGGGACATGAAAGACACTGTCTGGCCTCCGGCCTTTTGTTAATGGAGGCAGCCATGCAGATACAGAGAATTTGCATTTTTCTCGTAATATCATGTCCTTCTGTTCTTTGCCTTAAAGTGTGCCCTTCTAACTAAAGAACAGGTTCTGTTCCAAGCCTCCAGGGGCATGTGGGAAGATGGTGGGGTACGTGGTTCATCTTTTCAGGATCTCCCTGGTTCCCGGCAGCTCGTCAGACACTCCTTGCTGCCCAAGACTGGCCAGCGGTACCCTTTACTGGCCCTCCTTTGTTGCTGGACATTAGAGAAACAATTCAGACATTCCCAGACAGCTTGGTGTGCAAACCAGGAACAGGGGGATATCCGACAGACTGCCTGTATGCTTTTGTGTGTTTTTAAACATTTTAAAACCAATCCAAAAAAACTTGTTGGAGCTGCTGGGCTTAATGACTGAATGTCACGCTATGTTAGTCACCCACCCAGCCCCATTCCCTTTCCAAGCTGTGTTCTAAATCTTGATAGCTGTGCTGAGTGGGCATGGCCACAGCAGAGGGTGTGGTCAAGAAGACCAGTGGAGCCAGAGGAGGGTGGGGGTGCGGGGGAATGGGTTCTCCCAGAAACTACTCCAGAGTTGATGCCCAGAAGAGACTGGTGGGGAGGGGGTGCCACTGCTGAAAGGAGAGGAAGAGGGTGGGACATGTCTGGAGGCTGCATCTGCTGGCCAGTAGGCTGTTTTGCTGAGTGTATGGACCTATAAAGCCAAGTTTCCTAAGGGGGCTTCCTGAGGTTATATCCTTGGTTCATATCAAGAACTATTACCACTATTTTATTTTTATCTGTAGTTTGGGGTGCCATCACCAAGTTGTCTAGGTGATAGCATACTTCTGGCTGCTACTCACCTACTACCTGTTGTAACAGGTAGTCTTTGCATTGGCATGGTTCTTTTTGCTTTTGGCAAACTATTATCAGAGGAGAAAAAGAACAATCTACCTGGCAGAGGGGGCAGGAATTGGGTCCTATCTTAAAAGATGAACTCTGCTTTTGCAATAGTATAGAAATCAGGAGACTCTCTGGCTAGTGATGAGAGATATTGGTCTGCATCCACTAAGTCAGGACTTGCATAATTTTGCAGGGCCCCTCAGCCACGGAGTCCAAAATAGCTGTCAGATTTTTCAACATAGCTTTTTGTCTCCATAGAACACAGCCATAAGAGCATTGAATAGCTCAGAGCAGGAAGAACCGGCTGTCTCAGTGTCTCTGTTCCTTACATAATCGTAGACCATTCTCAGCTATACAGATGTTCCTGGGCCTTTATGTTTGACAGGAGGATAGATTCAAATGTCTGAATTCCACCTGCTTTTTATGCTAAGTGTAATAAGCCAGGCAGTGAAAAACAAATACCATATAATTTCACTTATCAGTGGAACCTAATCAACAAACAAGCAAGCAAAATATAACCAGTGAAATAAACTGACAGTAACCAAAGGGGAGGCGGGGAGGGAAATAACAAGGGAAAGAAGGAAAAGGGTCATCAAGGAATGTGTATAAAGGACCCGTGGACAAAGTCATGGAGCATAGGATTGAGGGTGGGAGGTGGGGGTGGTTGGGTGGGGGGGACAGTGGTGGTGGGAAATGGAGACAATTGTGCTTGAACAGTAAAAAAAGAAACAAAAGAGAATTCTACCTGCCTTTAAATGTTCATTAAAAAATTATTGAAGCAATCTCTGCCTGCACTGATTTAATAACACAGGGTATAAAGTGCAAGTTCTACCCAAAACCTCACTCCCCAATCCGTTCACAGATTTTCACCTGCTTTTTTAACACTTCAAAGATAGCTGTTAACGTCTTATTTTTAAAAAGGAAGAAACACCCCTGGCTGTTTAGAATATTTGGAATCTCATGTTGAGCTGAGAGAGGTGAAAATGAGAAGCATTTTTAACAGGAACACCTGTTAGTTTTAAGCATACGCAGTTTGGGTACCAAAATAATCAAGTTTGAGGCTTTGAATAATTTCCAAAGATGATTTGGACACGTGGCAGCCTTCCTGAGAAAAGAGTCTCCAGAGGCACACCTAACACACAGGGGAATTTACAGGAAGAAAAAGTTTTCGAGTCATATTTGTGATTTCTAAGGTCAATTAGGAAAATGCCTGAAGCATCCCCACCCTTGACGGTTAGAAGATTTTTGGCCCGGGTCCCTCCCTTCACTCTGGGCCACCACATTCTTCTTCTAAGGATATTTTATAGACCCTATGAATGTTCAGAAATGACTCTCCCTCCTTTATTTGCATAGCATTTGCAGATCAATTTATAATAGAAAGAAGGGTCAGACTCAGTTGATTACTACAGTGATCCTTCAATTCTTTTCTCACTGAATTCTGCCCCAACCTCAGAGACAAAGGCATTTAATTTTCATCTCGTGATAAGGGAAAGTGAACTTTCCTTCACCTCACAAAAAAACATTATGGCCACTTCTCACTTAGAACCAGGTCTGTCCGGCTCCAAAGCCAAGGTTCTTTCCCGACGTTGGTTCCATGAGAACTCATGACATTGAAAATAACCTACGTTAATGTTTAGTTTACGTGCCACCCCAAATTGTACAAAAACCTGATAGCTTCCTCTATTTTTCAGTTAATCTGAACTTCCTCATAAATCTCCAATCTGCCTCTGGTTGTTCTGCTGCTGGGCTCAAGGCTGGTAAATACCAGGTCCTCCCCCCCCACCCCCACTGTTGCTGGCCCCCTTGGATCTTAATGATGCTATATACCCTCATTCCCCACTGTTACTCATGTCTCTCTGCCCCTGGTGGGGGCTGTCTACCCACAGCCATGACTGTGGGCTACCTGCCTTATCAAAGTGGCTGCCGGAACTGTGGACTCCTCCAAGGGTTATGCTAGAATGTCACCTTCTCTTCCATGACATAAAGCAACCTGAAGAAACTAGAAGGTACTGTCTTTTCTAGCCTGGGTCCATTCCATGTCAGTGCTGGAGCATTTGTGAAGCCACCACCTCTGACTCCTTTGGCTTTCTGCCATCTCTGGAGTTTCTGGCCTTTCGCTCCCATACCACACCAATACCATGGTTTTAGCCTGGAGTTCAGGAATCAGGATCGTGTTCTTTAATTTGTCTCCCTACTTCCTCATACTTCTTGAAAAGACAGGCTCAAGTCACATATTCCAGCCTCTAACCAGGGTCTCCCACATTTTAGCTGGGTGGCCCTGGAGAAGGTGCTCAACTTCCCTGTTCCTTAGTTTCTCTGTTCCTCATTAAAACAGTAGCTGAAGCTGGAGAGGAACAGATCCTTTTGATCAGTGTAATGCTAAAGTGTCCTGTAATCTGAAGATAACTTTCTATTATATTAAGTAGCCAATTCCTGGAAGTGGGGTTCACAGCTTTCCATCTTTTCAACAGCAACCTGTCTCCTAAAAATAGCAATCTCCCACTTGTGTTCAAGAATATATGGTATTTCTATAATGTGGAACAATGACTATGTTTTCTTGCCACAATTTAGGGCAAGGAAAAAAAACACCACAAAAACTCAGGTCTGAATGACTAACACCAGATCCATTCACAAATGTGGAATCTGAGGAAAGGTGGGAGGACCAGTAGAGCAAGTGCAAGAGACCTGGGCACTAAGAAGGGGAATGCCTGCACCAGTCTGCATTCCCACCAATAGTGCACTAGAGTACCCTTTTCTCTGCATCCTCCCCAACATTTGTTTGTTGATTTGTTTATGTTGGCCATTCTGACTGGTGTGAGGTGGTATCTTATTGTGGTTTTAATTTGCATCTCTCTGATAGCTAGTGATGCTGAGCATCTTTTCATGTGTCTCTTGGCCTTCTGTATGTCCTCCTTAAAGAAGTGTCTGTTCAAGTCTTTTGCTCATTTTATAATTGGGTTTTTTGTCTTCCTGGAGTGAAGTTGTGTGAGTTCTTTATATATTTGGGAGTTCAAACCTTTGTCCGAAGTGTCACTGGCAAATATGTTTTCCCATACGGCTGGCTCTCTTTTCATGGGATTATACCCTATGAGCCCTGAAACACCAACCTAAAAGAACCTATGCACCCCAATGTCCATAGCAGCACAATTTATAATAGCCAAGCACTGGAAGCAACCTAGGTGCCCAGCAGCAAATGGGTGGATCAAAAAACTATGGTACATTTATACAATGGAATACTACACAGCAGAGAAAAAGACAGAGCTCCTACCCTTTGTAACGGCATGGATGGAACTGGAGAGCATTATGCTAAGTGAAATAAGCCAGGT